TTTATTTTGCACCTCCCGACACTGACGGATACGCGCTTGGGGTGTAAAAAATCAGCGAGTCTCCGTTGGTGTAAGTGTACGACATGCGTGTTTCTATAGCCTCTCGGCGCGGAAAAAGCGTTAGAAAACCCCCCGGGCCCCTTGGTGGCTGATATCACTAGAGAGAACAGCAGCGAGGGTAGTTGAACAATGGGCACGCATATGCATCAGGAGCGATGAACAGGTTACTCTCGTGGGGGACCCATCCGACCGGAGCGCGTGCCATTCCGTGTGCCGTATACGTACGTGCTCGCAACCTCCCTCTGCTCCGGCCAACGAAACCGGTCCGCTGCACCAAGAGAGAGAGAGCCTGAGTGTCTTTTTTTCTTCTTTTGCTTCTCTTGTGTTGCTACTGCGGATGACAAGTCCGTGTGACTGCATGCGTGTGTTTGCCAACTGCGGATAAACACAATGGTTGGATCTGCGAAAAATCGGGATGGTCGTTCCTGTGGAGGGGCAGATACTCCGGGGTGCATGGATTTTTCGTTTCCACCCTTATTGTTGAACAACAAGCTTTTCATACGTTGCTGGAAAGTGTGCGCTTTTTCTTGAGTACGCTATGACCGGTAGATAAATGGTTTTGCGCCAACTAATTTTATTACGATTTAATGCGTCGTTGTATGGGAGAGGGTTTTTTGAAGTTAACCATGGTGACTTGGAGTGGCAAAAAATATACTAGGTACACCCTGTAAATTTAAGTGTGTTACATTATATGTTTAAAGTGAGTAGTTACAATTTTTGTTTTTTTATAAAACACATGTTCGTGGTGGCGTGGATAATAATTATAAGGACTACCACATGTTTTGAATGGAAAAAATCAATGTAGGAAAGGCGTGGAGTGAAGAAACTTGGCTGTCATGGATTCAATATGCATATCAAGTGTGTAAAATATGTGACAAAAATGTTTTTTACTCCCTACAGTCTTCTTATGTCAATCGTAGAAGAAAAATATTTTTTAATTCAGTAGAATAGGTGGAATAATTTACGAAGCATCAGTTTGGTTGTACGTGAAACATTTATCAAGACTATGATTATGTAGAATATAAAAAAGAAAAAAAAATCGATTATACGCTTTAAATGTGTACTTAATTAACACACTCAGATTTTACAGAGTACTGTTAGTAAAGTGTTGAAGTACACACAATAGAGCTCACGTGTATGTACGTGTTCTAATGAATAGGAAGATGTACAAAAACCAAATTTTTTTTGAAAAGCTAGTGCCCGTCTTCGTTAATTTTTTTCTTAAATCATCGCTTTTCTTTAATCAATAGTTCCATTTTTGTAACTATATATTTAGTGTATGTTGGTACATTAAAGTGCTTAAACTGTTCTGTAACCATCAACTTTTTTCCATAGGTTTTAACGATAGTTCTATTATAACAAAACCTTCATTAATTTATTGTTACGTCATGATGTATTACATACAAGTTTCATCGAAATCTGAATGGTAATGAAAAAACCAACGGTATTATTTTAATTAATTTATAAAAGAATGTTTCTAAATAATCAGTTGAAGAGTTAGAGTTTAAGTTTTTTTTGTCAAATTGTAAGAAATATCTTGTTTTCCGTAATTCTCACTAGTTCCAATTTTCTAGCATAAATAAAGAAGGGCATTTGCATGTTTCTCTTTCTACACCAGGCAGGTATATAATAATATCTTGTTGTTCATCCATACCGATCTTCGGTACCCGTCGATTTGAGTACAGCTCCAGCTTCCCACCAACCTTCGGGGCACCCGCATCTTAGCGCGGCAGGTGTCTTTCTTCCACAAACATCTGCTGAAGGTCTCCGTACCGCCCGCACTCGCTTTTTCCCAATCAGACCCAATCGGTCCTCCGCGGTGGGTGCGAAACTGCAAAGGCCTTCTCTCCAAGGCCGCGAGCGCCGATTTTTTAACTCCCCGGCACTCCAAATGCCGCACATTACACACAAACGAACATATTTACACCGTCCCGGCGTTTTCGCGATTTTTCTCGGAAACCCTGTCCAGTCGACAACGAACGTTTTTATCCCCGTGTATACAGGCTCTTCCGAAATTTGCATCCCGCAAACGCGGCGCGGCACTCTCGCGCGGTCTTTATCAGCAGAAATAAAAGTTGCATGAATTTAAAAGTGGCGAACGCTGCCCCTTTTTTTCCCTCCGTTCCAACTCTCGCTCATATATTATACTCTCTCTGGAAGCGTATACAGTGGCGATAAATTATTTTTCTCTTACCACACAGGCGCGTTTTTTTTTTTGTTCACGGGCACTCAATGAAACACTCGCGTCGTTTCGGCACCGTTGCAATATTGTCTAATACACCGTAAACGCGTAGCCAATGTCCCGCTATTAATTACCTCGCTCGAGTTTTCGCTTCTCCAGGCGAATAATGCGACGATAAATTCGTCAATCCGGCTTTTCTCCAAGTAAAGACGTTTCGACGTCGCCGGGCAGGAGAGGGGCTCTCGCAGGTTTTCCCAAAGAGAAGCCGCCACCTCGTGTTTTCCCGTATAGAAGGACTTGCGTTGCAGCTGTCGCCGATCGTCTCGTTGCGCAACGGAGTTTCGATCACTGCGATCGACGGGGCCGATTTACTTTTCGGGAGAAAGTCGATGAGGGAGTAAGTAGCGCGTGTGTTATTTTTACCCGACCGCGGTCGCGTTGAGTTCAATTATAACCCTCGTTAAGAGTCTACTTTGCACCATCGCGGATCATCGTCTCCCGCGACAGTGCAATAAATTAATACATACCCATGGACCTCCGGAAAAAATTCGCGCGTGACGTGAATTCCGTTCTACACGCGCCAAGGCAACGGAGGGGCCGGGCTTTCGCCGAACGATCGCCATCCCGGCTCTCGTATGGGGGCCGGAGAGGAGAGTCGCAACTTTTTGCTCGCGCCGAACTATAGAGTTGATCGTGTGCAGCTGCGGCAGGTGGCTCGCACCAGTGACAACAGCACTTTCGACCTTCCGAAAGTCGAGACGCGCGAGAGCGAAAAAAAAAACAAAAAAAAAAAAACAAGTAACTCGTGTATACGGGTCGTTATGCCTAACATGCCCGTATGAATGTATGTATCTGCCGGCGCAGGAATAAGGTCCGGTTTAATTGCTCGACCGATAGAGGGGCGTTATTTATCGCTCGGGTATCGTCGCACTTGCACTTTTGTTCCGTATTTTTTTGTCTCGGTCGACGGGGTTCGTTGATCCCGTTTGGCTTTGACGACTCCGCAGAGAGATAATCAGCTGCATGAACGCGTTCGTAAATCACGCGGTCGTTAAGCCGGGGAATGCGCCTCTAAGACCCGCCGAGGATGTTTCAAACTGTTATGACGGATACGCGGGTGCCACTGATATTGCGTTGGGTACATGTGTACTTATATGTGCGCCTTGGAGGCTCTGTGGAAGTTTTTTTTTTCCAAACGCGTCTCACCGAGCATGATCGGATGGATTTTACTGTCCCGGGACTTTTTAAAATTATTCTTCATTCCATTTTAGGTCCGCATCGGAATTTCGATTCGTAAAAGCCCCTCTGTCTCCTTTCATCAAAAAAAAAAAAAAAAAAAAAAAAACCGCTGACGGCGCAACTCATACCAGGATCGTGCATTAAGCGGAATGTAAATATTTTTCGCGAGAGCTCTCACGAATTCTTTATCGAAAATTGCGCCCGCGGAAAAAATAATTTTCGAAAAGCACTCCGGCGTATATATGTAAACTCGCGTGCACAATTATCGCATTATGACGTCGTTTCGGGAGGGGGGGGGCGCGCCGAGCAAATAATAATCAGAGAGTCCCTGAAATTCAAAAATACGGGGAAAAAGCGCGCGATTCCGTGCGTGCACGTATGTATATACGGAAAACGGCAGCATTTACATTGCCGGGGAGGGCTACAATGGCACGGCGGCAATTACACTCGTCCGCGATGTACAATCATTCACAAAACGCGGTTAGCTGCCGTTTAAACAGCAGAGCCGGAGGAAGGCGCGCGTATTTGCGCAGAGGAGACGAGGGGGCAGCGGGGAGAGAGAGAGGCGCACTCTCTATCTCTGGGTCCAATATAAACTTCGCTTGGTTGGAAATTCATTTGAAAAGAGGAACGACCTCGCTGGAGCCGCCTCCGTGGGCTCGTGTATGGGCATGGTTTTGTTCTTATCGGATGGGATTGCTGGAATTATACGTATGTAAAATAATGTTGTCGAGCTTGTTTGTTTCGGATGTACTTGGAGGTGAGCTCGTTTGAAAAAATTTTTTTCCCAACTTGATTTTGCGAGCCAAGAACATTGAAAGGAATATACCTATTTTTGCTGGCTGATGTTTTTATAAATTTGCGTGTGGTTGAATTTTTTTTTTTGGTCATTGAATGAAAAAAGTGTTCGTGAAAATTAAAAGCTTCATTTTTTTCCATACTTTCACTTGTAATACAGAGACACGCACCTTGAAATTATTAAGAATTCGTGAATTTTGTATAGTTTTTTATTCTCACATTATTTTGTTTAATTAATTGGTAGCACACAAAGTACGAATTTATTTAAATGTCATTTATCGAAACACCGTTTGTGCTACCTGATGCACTCAGTCCATCGAGAGTATGGTAGTTGGGGTGAAAAATAGCACACAAACGATGACGTAACATGTGACGGAGCAGCGTTTCTTTGGACTGTACGCCAAACATTTTGACTCTAAAGAATTAATTGCACGAATACTAGTTGCATACATTTATACACTTGGTGACACGCGCGTATATATTTACTCAAAATATTGGTTTTTTTTTTTTTAAATTAAATAAGAACACTTGTACGTTTTTATGTGAAATTTATTTTCTAATGATACAAAAAAGACTCCCTGTACTAGGTGCAAAACATTGAGCAAACATTTGTCAATCACACGTATAGTTTAAACAACCTACACAGGTAAAAAATAATTGATCGATTGAGACAAACATTATATTACAAATAATTAAATAAATTCAGGTTTCCGGAATTGGCCTACATGGACTCCACTGCATCTAAAATATCTATTAGTTCGATTAGATCCTTATCGTTATCTGCCGCGTTGTTGACTACACTATTAATCCAGTCAACGTAAGGGCTAACAGATGTGAAAATGTTTTCATTTATCGACCCAAGACCAACTAGCACCATTCCGTTTGGAGATTTATCCACCAAAATGTCGGTTTCGTGAGACTGAGGAGTATTAAAAAATTGTGAGATGTGCTGAAACTAATGGGAACAAACGCAGATTTAACACTTACCCAATTCTTTTCGGTATTTGAGCAGAATTGAAACGGCAGCAGGTTCTTAGGATTCCAGTAGTACATCCTCAACAGTTGCTCGCAGGCCTTTTCGTCTACCATTTCAACCTTGGAAAATACAAGTCTACCTCCTCGAGGATATCGATAACTAGTCATAATGTACTCGGATTCGTAATAAAATTCGCTCAAGTCACTCTGATAAGCGATACTCTTGTCGTGAACACTTTCCGTCAATTGCAAAATAGCTATGTCATTCTTTTTATCGCTGAAAACAATTATTTTGAGTTATAAGTAACTGTATCACAGATGGATCATTTTATGAAAAGAAATGAATATCTTACGCAAAATTAAAGTCCTTGTGAATGGTGATATTACTGATCGGAATCCGACGTACGTTTTTGTCATAATATGAAAAGCTAGGAAGAGCAATCCTGTACTGGGCCAAATTATCAGATACGCAACGGGCACTTGTTAAAACATAGTTTTCTTTTATGAGTGCTCCGTTACACCGGAAAAGGTAATGGTTACCATAACTCGTGGTCATCTCGACAGCTACGTGGTACGGAAACTGATTGCTTCTTGCGTAACCCCCGTGAACCTTGTAAACTGAAAAAGACATTTTACATTTATTTTTAATTTGCAAGTGTTGAGTTGATAAAAAATGAAGTAATTTCAAGAGCTAAAGACTTTTTTTTTCAAAAATAAACAGCACATTAATTTATATATTTGCCATGGTAAAAGACCAAACAGATCGTTGTGCTTATCACAGCAGCAAAAAATATCTGTTAATGATTTGAATTACACACTTTTGACACAATAATATTTAGGTAAAGATCGAAATCAATAACTATTAATGAAATTCATTGGGTTGACTTGAATTTAACTTTAATAAATAGACTAAAATGTTACGCGGGTCATATAATTTATTCTAAATGAGGAAAAATTACGATATATATTGTGTACTTTAAGTATAACTGGTATCATTAGAATAGTGTGAAGTGACATTAACGTTAAGTAATATTTGAAAAATAACACTTTTTGTAGTTTTTGCTGAGAAAATGTATGTTATGTTAAAATCAACTAGTTTTTATAATTATTTCTGACTCTACATTAGGTACAACTATTTTTATAAAATAAAAAAAGTCAAATCTGTTAGTTACTGTTTTCAAAGGCAAAAAATTATTTTTAAAATTTTAGTAAAATTGCTGATAAAATACCACCAATTCGAGTAAAAGTAGGGTAAACAATGTAAGTTGAATTTTAGTTTATTCCTTAGGTAAGAACCATCATTGAAAATTATAACTTTTAAAATACTTTATAAAAAATATCTCATAACAAAAAGGACTCACCTTGAGTAACCAAAAGTACAACAAAAACTTTTAGAAGAACCATTTTGAACAAGAAGAAATTCCTGACTGACTGCTTTCAACAATGGTCGTTCCTATTTATAAGCATACTAAAAGGGTGACTAATTCATTTTCGTGACTGCAAGTATTGTTTCTGGAAGTACACAAAATATATTTTTGTAAGAAGGACTTATTGGCTAATGGCTGATGACCTGTGTTATCGTACGATAGCTTAGAAGTAAAGGTGACGTAGTATGGTACGGCCTTGTAAAAGTGTTAATTATGTTTACGTTATTTTTAGTCCTGTAAATGGAATTGTTTTGAGCAGAGAATCAACAAGTACTATCATTTTCTAACTAATTTCATATAACCATGGGAAACAATAACAAAACTTCACTTTCAGGAAAATTACACAATATCATACAGCTCAATTTTCATGAATCCAAGTGTTACTTTGTACAGTTTTTATATAAAAAAACAACAAACATTTAAATTTTTTGTACCATCTCGATTGAGGAGATTTATTACCTAATATGTATAGCACTGAATTTTAAAATATTTATACAGCTGCCTGCCATCAATTTGCAGTAATACTGATACATTGTGGCATAAAACGAGGGTCTTTTATAAGTAAAAACACAATCATTTTGTAGTGAACCTCTTTGAATAATTTTATACGTAAAAATTCAACGAATTATTAATGGTTTTTTTTCGCATCCAAATTTTTCTCTACTTTTTCGTATTGTTTCTAAGAAAAGTATTGCGTTTTGTACTATTTGTGGAATCCAAAACTGTTTTATTTAAAAGTATGGATACTTAGTCTTCAAAAAAAAAATTCAGGCCATCAGTTATCAAACGACCCCTCACATTACAGGTAACCCTTCCATCAAACCAGCACAGACATCAGCAATGGCAGTGGTAATACTTGTACGTGTATCCTTTTGCACACCGTCATGACGCGATCTGCGATTAATCGAAGGGAAAAAAGATGTGCGAAGCGCTTGCAATAGACATAAATGTATAAATACTAGTTTTTCTGTTTAGTTATAGTTAATTTACTTTGCTGTAAGAGAGTAGTAGAGTATAATATAGAAAGAGGGAGAAAGCAGGAAAAAGTGATTATAAATTAGGGGAAAAGATATCGGCAATTTTGGTTCTCGGAAAGCATAACGTTGTAAAATCTTTTGAGTCATTGCTGTACTTTTATCTACTACATGGCGCGTAAGGTATGACTTTTGCCGAGAGGAACTTTGCAATGAACAAAAATTGAATTGCGTTACAGTAAGAGTAAACATTTTTTTCTGTATGCTCATGAGTGTATTTATCAATAAGATTTCAGGGCCTTTTAACCAATTGGATTTTTACATTAGTTTTATTAAATGTGCTTTTAAAATAATTTCATATTGCAGTTAATTTTTGGAAGATTTAAATTTGATTGATTTGTCTCTAAGCCATAAAAAAAAAAATTATTTTGTCCGTATCCCGAGATGCATCTTACTACGTGTGCACACTCGCAGGTGAAATTCAACGTATTTTTAGAAAAACAATTTACTTTTGTAAGGTAAAAAGAACACATTTACAACACGTTACCTCGACATTTCATTTTCCATTCATTGCAACTTCCTGATCCACGTGGAAACCAAACATACTTGAGACCCTGTGCAGTACCGGAAATTTTCCATAAAATTTTCATTTGCCTGAGAGGTACGGTGGCAGCATTAAAAAAAAAAAAAGCAGAATAGACGCGGAAAAAACCAGCCGTGAAAAACTTAAAAGAGCGTAGTATTCAGGTACACATGCATCGATGCGAATGAAAGGCGGCAATGCTCGGCGATCCATCGACGCCCTTCTGGCTTCCGCGCACGGGCACCGATTTCTCCTCTCGCCATCGCTTCTCCGTCTCTCTGCTCTTCATCAACAGGGCTCCACGTGAATATCGGTTTTTCCCCTGTTTTACACATAGATTTTTTTTTATTTTTTTTTCCTTTTACGAAATGTGTCGGTACGTATTTGTTTATCCCAACGATTGTGCGAGTCGTCGAGGAATCGTCAAGCCATCCGATCACTGAAAATCGATCTTCGTTAGGGAACGATCAGCGAAACAAGTGATACGTACAGCGCTGGAAGGAGTCGAAATATCACGAATAGAAACTCGTCATCCAGTTACGCATTGAGAAAACAAGCTTGCCTGCAACGGAGACTTTCGTAACTCGACCCGCCTTTCGGAGCTCATCTCGGCAATCGCTTCTTCCTCCTTTCGAGCTTGACAATCTTTGGAGATCGGTTGTTTCGCGAAACGCGTCCCTCTGTTAACGAGAGCGCGGGAGTTTGACTTCTATATCATTACCATACAAAAATGAACATGACGATTTATCATGGAATTTCAATCCAAATGAATGTCGTTAATTCGCACTGGTGAACCAGAGCGCAATCGGCAATAATCATCCGAGTGACGGGGGAGCAAGAAAAAAAGGGTTGGATTTTCGCATTAAAACATTTACCGGGTGGATCGGAGATAAAATTTAGGGCAAGAGAGCCGCGCAATCACGAGTCTGCAGCCGCTGCGTATTCCCGATATTGCAACTCGCATGAAAATTTATGCCGATTCCGAAGGAAATAAATTTCGCCCCCCCCCCACCCCCTCCCGCTACTTCCATACGTATAATACACCCTCGGCACGGCAGAGAATATTCCATCGCGGTGATGGCAGCAGAAAGAGACGCGCTCTGATTTCGGAGCCATTCCGTATACATCCCCTCGCAGATGTATACCTATACAGCGCAAAGCCACGAGGGATCGGGCGAGAGAGAGAGAGAGGCTCCTGAAAAGGTGAGAAAAATGAATTGCCGAGCGCGAGGCAAGCGCCAATGCACTTACCTTAAATTTCATTTGCGAATTTTCGTGTCTTATTGATTCTCGGAGGATTCGTCGCCGGTTTTCCTTTCTTTCTCCCCCCCCCTTTCCCGTGCAATACCCCCCCCCCTTTTTTTTTCGACTGTAAAAAGAAGTTGTTACCCGAAGACATTGGAAAACAAGCGTGTATCTCTTACGTGACTCGTCAAATTCATCACGTATTCGAGATTTTCCGTCACTGCAGCGCGTGTAATCTCGAAAAAGGGCCAAAAAACCATGTAATGGCGCAAAATCGCCAAGCTTGGGAGTAATTTTATAGAGAGATTCAATTGGGCTGCTGCAGGCGGTAGAGCGCGTTATATATACCATAGAAGCTTACACTGTCGAACAAAAAGAGAGAGAGAGAGAGAGTGAAATATGAGAGTCTGGGCGTCGCGTGAAATAAGAGCCGATTGAATTGAAAGAGTAGCTTACGGCCACTTGATATCTACTTATACGCCCAACCACCGCCAACTCAACCCCCCCGGGAATCGCTCGTATCGGCACCGGCCCCCCTCCTCCGATTCACTCATCCACTTTGCGGTGTTTCTTATCGCACCTTCTTACGGCAACTCGCCCCCCCCCCCCAACTACCTTCTTTGTCGCGCGCGCCCGACTTTTCGGGCAGAGTTGGAGCACTCTTCTTCTTCCCTCCCGACTTTTTTCCACCCCCCCCTCCCCTCCGTTCCGCGCTTTTCTTCGTCATATATATCTGGCACTTTCATCGTCATCGCGCCAAAGCCTCTGATTCCCGGGCACGGGGCGAGGGGATATACGCTGTAACGTTCCTCCGTGGGTGTATAGTCTTCTTGCCGCAACTTCTAATGGAGTATCAAGCCGACGGCTGATGCTTTTACTCCTGGCGCCCCTACCACCACCACCACACCGTGCTTCTTTCCTTCAGGCGCGGAATCGTCGCCGATACGATCGCGCGCACTCCCGAACTTTGGACCTGCTACCCTCGTCTCGTCGTGATCTTCTTCGCTACTTCTTCGGGCTCTGTCTTGAATTTTTAGTTGCAAACAAGAGGGTAGAATTTTTTTTTTGGGGGGGGGGCGTACTTATATCTCTGTGGATCTGATTTATGACCACGAGCTGTGTCGGTTTGTAATTGATGTGGAAAAACATGGAATTTGAATGCGACAACTGCACTGTCATTGGTGAGGGCGAGGTAGGAAGGCTGGTTACAGTCTTTTTTATTTTTTTTTCCTGGGTGTAATGTGGCAGGATGTCTGTGAAAAAATGAGGGGGCAAAGTGGAACGCACGCGGGACAAAAAATTCAGAGAAATGTAAAAAGCCGGTCTTATCGGGCGAGTCTTGCGATTGCGCTTAATCCGCAGGACATCTCCGTGAAGAGCCGAGAAGTGCGAGAAAGTTCTTGGGCTGCCGAGCTCGTGGGGAAAACTTAGCCCTGGATTTTGCGAGGTATGTATTTATATCTCCTTTGGCCATCTGCTCTTCCAGGCATTATACGCCACTTGGATGTTTTTTGTCGCCAAAGCGGGACAAAGCGGGGAATCAAGTCGACGATTTCGATGCAAGAATGCATGGTCCGTCGATTGGCCGCTGATGGTACTTCTCATGGGGCGTTTTTGCCTACTCGACATCTCATCCTTTTGTTTTCAAGTGATGTTGAACTATGGTTTCTGAGCTTTTGTCACGAAAATTACACTGAGAGAATAAAATAAAAAAAATTATAGAGAAATTCCAGCAAAAATTACAGTAACCATGCGAGAAAGTAAAATTTACCAACTGATCGTTTCAAGGTCTACTGTTCCAGCATTTATACCATGATTTTAACTGTTCAAACGATAATCTTTACTGTTAAAAATAATAATTATCTCCAGTTTTGCCAACTTGCATCCGATTTATTGTGCGGAAAGGTAATTTTTGCTGGAATTTGTCAATAATTTTTATTATTTTTTTCTCTCTGAGTAATGTTTGCTGGCTACTTGGTGCAATCGTGAGATACCGAAATCTATAAATATCGGATGGACATTGTACGGATGAATATTTGGAAACAAAGACTCTAGAAATGAATGATGAATAAAATACTTAGTCTTTATTTCCGTCTATTGTCTACAATGTGAGCTTGAATGAACGTATTTATAATCAACCAGTTTGGTTTAAAACCAATGTTTAAAACATTTAAACCACTCGATGCATCTCTTACAATTTGTTTGAATCAATTGTGAACGTGTGGAGTAGCATATAGCCGTTGGACATAGTAATATCTCTATCTGTGTCCCTAACAATAAATCAATTAGTCTTCCCCGTCGTTTTCTCCACCCCCCCCCCTCGTGCTCGGGCGAATCAAATGAATTTATTCGGCCGGCAGCCCAGCCGTGAATCATTTACGCGGACACCTTTCGTACTTTTTTATACGTCACCTGTATTTCTCGTGAATCGCTTGGTTTTTCGTTTTCCAGCAGCAGCTACCGAGATTTTCGCTCCCATTTGTTTTACATTTAAATATTGACTCGCCTTTTTTCGGGATATTGGAGGTGCCTTCTTTTTTTCGGGAGGCTTTCAAAATGTACACGCATACGCTTTGCTGTGACCGATTGATACGTATTTGGTGAAACGGAGAGTGCGAGGGAGAATCGGGCTGTAAAAAAGAGCTTATGAAAGATTCAGTGGCTCGAATGGAAAATTATACGGAGCTGACAATTTATTGCCGGATTTACGGTTGTATTCACTCGCGATTGTAGCAGTGAAAGTGCATGAATATGGAATGATTGGATTTTTTTCTCTTCAAGTGTTTATCAGTTACGCTCAGAATTACAAGTTTTTTCGCTGATTCTTAGTTGAGGCATCAATTGTGTTTTATGATTTTTTAAAAATAAATATAAAAAAAAAATAATACGTTACTCACGAAACATACTCTTTTTTTTTCATGTCAAAAGCAATTAATCATATACGGTTATGAAATTTACTTATAAAAACAAAAAATTGATAGCGCACATCGTGTGCTCGATAAATCGTAAAACATGAACGAAAATAAAAATTTGCAGTCTTTGGTTTCCCGATAAATTTCATAAAACTCGAGAAAAATAAGGCCCATACCGATTTTTTAAAGCTTTTGATCATAAACATTTTTCATGCTGGGCTATATTTTGAAAAATAGCTTAATAAAAAAAACAAAATAAGCCCTGCAATTAAATTTTTGCCACAACAAAATTACATGCGCGTGCAGCACTAAAGTTCCGTGACATTCATTGCAGCAACGCAAACAATGGGGACACTCGCGCGACGGGATGGCTGTTATCTCCTTTCACCTGCGATAATGCGATTCATTACACCCGCGTACGAAAAATAAAAAAATTCTTGAAAAAAAAAAAAAAAAAAAAGAGAGGTAATTCAGAAAAGGAGGGAAAAGATCGGAATCGCGAGTCGTAACAATTAGCAGCTCGAGCCGACAGATTGGCGCGTATAAACACAACTTTCGGCGGATTAAGCTCCCGGTTTTCGAGAGCGTGCGGCCATAGGAGGTGGGGTGCGGCTCTTCGCGAGCCACTGCCGCTCGATAAATCCGATAAACTCCGGCTAATTTGAATATCCGCGGGCGCATTATCAAAACGCGATATCGGTGACGCTGGCTGGGCTATCGGGACACGCTTTTAATGCATATGCAGATTAGATAAATTTATACAATAAGCCGGTTTCGCGTCGCTCCTTCCTTTCAACTCTTCCCCCCCCCCCACCCCCGAAAAGTAGGTTTTATCGCGTTGATTGTTTACCCGATTTTGTGTCTTCAATTATTTCCCCTACTTTCGTGTACGTGTGAAAAGGAATTTCGACTCGGGACAGGAATTAAGGACAAGTATGCCATCCACCCGAAACACGCTGCTTATCTAACTTTTTACTTTTTTATTTTATGGTACTCCAAAATTTTTTCTCTCGCATTTATTCGAGCGTTCGCAAAGTATCGTTCGTTTTGGTGGCATATGTATGCACTTACAAAGCTATGCGCAGTATTGCACCAAACTAACGTACCAATACATCGTCCGGGGCTGGCGCGCAAATTCGTATTTATACCCCGAGTTAACAGCCATAATGTCCCTCCCCGGTGTTTATTGGCCCGGCGCACGCACGCTCGTATATACTTGTAGGTGCAGTTTCTGCGCACATATTACCCTGTTACGTGAGTTCATTGACAAAATGTTTGCGAGTCTGCAGTACCATCACGGCTCGCTCCTGTTTTTAACAAGCTATTATTTTTTCTTTACCCACCACCTGCGTAAATGGGTGCGTTGTAATATAATACACTGATGGCTACAAATTGTTTCAATAAAATAATAAAAAAAAGCATCGAAAAATACAAAAGTGTGCGAGTTACGAAGTAACGAGGACAAGGTCCGGGGATTTGATAGTTTTTCTCAAGTTGTGTAGATATAAAGTCATACAATTTATATTCTACATGTGGTAATCTTCCTCATTCTATTCCAGTTAACCACTAAGTTTATTCGGTTTAACAACGATTTCGAGTCGGCGTGAAATTGTTACAACTATTTTAAAATTTTGAAACGTATGAAAAAGTTAGTTGAATACCATGTCTTTGAAAAAATGTTTATTTTTCTGCACCCACAACATATAGATACTTTTTATTTGATAGATAACATTTTTTTCATTCCTCTACCTCATCATGTTGCTACTTTATACCAGTACGTAAGTAAAGTCAGTAATCGAATAAATGATTCCATGCACGGTTTGAAGGTATAAATAAGTCAACTTATTTCTAGGAAAGATATTTGCATAATTTATTATTTTAGTAATCTAATTATTTTACAAAGAATTTGATTGTTAAATTACTGTTATTATATCTGCCAAATAAAGCTCATAACTATTTTTATTGTTCACTTTATTGATAAATCTAGTATTAGTTCATAGGAGGATAACTCATTTGGGTAACTCATTTGCCCCATCCTCCAACTCCACCAACTCCACCGACGCCTTCTCCAATCTGCAAAAAAAAAATGAATATCTGGTGAATCAGTTTATTCGTGATACGATATAATTGGTAAAGGATACATGATTTGATGATAAATATGTTGATTACGAACAACACATATATATTGAATGTTGGTAAAATTCATATAAGAATTAAAGCTATCACTAATTCGGGCTACAATTTGTTCCTTCTAAGCTGATTTGGGCGATTTGGCTTGGGAAATTTCGAAACTATATCAATAAAGTGTGCCTTATTAATTTGCGATAAAAAAATACTTGGGTCAACTACTTAATTTTTCAAAAAGTCGCTACTGAAAACTTACCAATTCAACACGCAGTCTTGTGAGATTTATCACTAATACGACCATAATTTTTTTATAAGTAACCTTTGAGAATTGTGAAAATTATATGTAAACCACTTAGATTTTAAGAAAATTCAGAGATAAGTAATTTATCGTCTTCAGTCTTTGTTATTCTATTTGTCAATGTTTAATAACTTTCCAGGCCAATACAACTCTAAAATTTTAATATGAGATTTAGATACTTAACTATCATGACGTTGAACAAAGAATATTTTTCATAATCCACATAACCTCAAAGGGCCCCTACATAGCTTGGTACAGCACGAGACTCCCAACCGATCTTAAAAAAATTTTAAAATGAATACAATTACAACGTGTGAGTAAACACAAATTTTCATTATATGACTTAAAAACAAAAAGCATTTGTCTAATGCTTCAACAAACGCCCTCCAAGAAAAAAAGTCTAGTATAAGACTTTTATCTTGGCCATTTCTATTGAGATATTAATACTAAGTATATTAATAAACAGAACAATTGCCTGGCGAGGACGTCTTAGTTGGTCCACATTGGATTTGGCTGATACTACTTCAAAGTTCATAGTAGTAACCAAAAGCACAAACATGGCAAAGATTGCAAAGGAGCGAGAAAACATGTTGAAGTATTGATGTATTGGTAGATTACACTTTTGAAAAGACTCATATGACTAATTACTTTATCTCAACATGTGACCGTATTTATCGTAAAAAATATTAAGTTGGCGAAATAAAAATAAGCATCATTCATTTACTTTTTTTAAAATCATTAATTTTGAAACATCAGTATGATTAACAGAAGTTGATATTAATAGAAGCCGTCAATGACAGTCTATGATACGTTATCTTAATATTATTGGTTTTGCTAACACGTTATCAATCGTTGTAAAAACGTTTCGTTCGTGAGAAAACAGTGTAAAGTACGAAAATAAATTATGACTCGATTTTTTGTTTATCAAACTTTTGTTTGAGTAATAATTTAAATCATAGAGAAATATTATTATAAGTGTAAGCGTCTGGAAAATTTACATTTTTTCTTCGTCTATTATATATAATTTATACGTATGTTACCAATGTTTTGTTTATGTATTTGTGGTAAGTTTTATAAGTAGAAATTGAAAGTCTATTTCATTAAAAAAAACGGAAAAAATTGCTCTAATTGCCTTTAAAATTTTGTATTCACTATGTTGTCATAAATTATACTAAAAATAGTTTTATTAACTACAAATTTAGAATATGTTGTAAGATAAAAAGTTATTCATAAAAATCTGCATATAAAGTTTGTAAATGGTGTGAGTTTTATAAGAAATTCATCAAATCCAATTGAAAGCATAAAATGTACGGAAAGTATTGCGAAAAAATACTAGTATGCAAACATTTTATAAATATTGTATAGATATGCGGCAAAATGGAAAAAAAATTTTTCCCAGATTTGTTTGGAGCGCAAAAATTTTATACCGACGTATGAATCTTTTAAAAGACAAATGTGAATTTTTTTAAAATTCTTTAGAATTGATTAATTTACTCTCTATATAAAGTTTTGATAAAATTATTGTCATTTTTATAGAATTAACATTACGCAAAATTTTTACATTAACTCTTTTATATACAGTTATAACTAAATGTTTTGAAAAAAAATTTTTCAGTGGGATGTTCATTTTTATTGACTTGACAAATCCAAGGATGCCTTAGAAATAACTAGTAACATAGATTATTAGCAAGACTATTGGTATCCACGTACATAATATCAGAGCGTAATTTCTTTTAAGAAAAATTAATTTATTTTTTATAAATATAGTGATATGGTTTGTACGAATGATGCACTGTTGTAGTTAAGATTGATTTCATTCTACAATTCGTCTCAAAATATTCGTTGCACAATATTGTGAAGCATTAATGCGTAGGCTGTCATGATACGTCGGAAGACTTGAGGTATACAATCGCAGTGGAAAAAAAGTACTCGCTCAATATACTTTAGCGCAAATTTCTTAAAAAAGTAATGTAAATTATGTAAAAATCATTCCGCGCATGTTCCAAGGCAAAGGGAAAATTTTTCCCCCCGTAAATTCCATAGTCACGGTAACTCACATCATTGAAAAACGGCTCCATTCTCACCCACTTGGCTCGGGATTAGGTTCTGGGGAGGCGGCAGCGATAGCGCCACCTATAGGTACGGCTGTTCGCCAGCCAAATAAAAGTTCATTAAGGACGAAAAATCGCTGGGCCGCGCAGTTACTCGTTATTACTTTTATCGTCGAGGTACCGAAAAAAAAAAAAAAGAAAAAAAAAAGACAGTTATACCATATACGAAGGGGAGGAGGGAGAATGTTTTTTGGCTCGCGCGTAAGTTCACGAAGATTCAAGCCGATCGGTGGCGGAAAAGAGCCATTTCACATTCACCAGAGATAATTATATTTTCACTTAACGATCACGGCCCCGTGACTTATTTGATCTTTTATGGCTCCACCCTATACTATGTATACGTATGTATGGATCGCACAATTCGTATAGGCGGTGCTGAATGGCCGAGACGGAATTCATTCGACAAATCTCGTACGTATAACGTCGTAAGCTCGAGTGCCCCTGAATTACCATTGTCCATTAACGAAATTGAATATTGTCAACCGCACACTTCCACGATGACACAATGTCTTCAGTTTATTCGAAATCGAGCATCCGATGAAAGATTTTCGCGGGTTATCTCAAGAGCGAAACGCCAATGAATAAAACGCCCAAGAAATCAATCTTTCTAACTTTTAAAAGTACATATTCAAGTAAACGATCGTGGAAAGTGATTGCCACCCGATAGGTATACATAATTCACGGTGCAATTAGACGCGACGCAAAGCTGAGTATAGCAGGCCTTTTCAATTACGCTGCGCGCGTACATCGCGAAACTCGATACGCGCATCATATAGTCTTTCGCGAGTCAAAAGAATCCCTTTGAAAAAATGCAGAGGGAGAGAAAGAGGGAAGATAACATAGACGAAACACCCCTTCCTCTCTCTCTCACCCTTCGCGTTCTTCGAGCTACGCTCGCGTGCAGCAGCGCGGCATCTCAGGCAGGGGCCTCCTTGTAATTGCGCCGCGATAAATTAATACGATTTCGCACGCATGTGCCGCCACGAGGATATATAGCCCCATTGTGTTGCCTCGCCCTCTGCTAAAGAGTTAAACAGCAGCCGTATAACAAGAGAGAGGGAGAGAAGGATAGGATGAGTGTGCATGCACGGTTGTAAGTATAAGAGGTGGCAATGTGTATTGGCGAACTTTCGTAAGATGTTGCTGTTGTTTTAAAGAAGGGGATACCCACTTGGGGGACAAGCTGCTGTTGGTACCGCACGTACATAATATGGGCTCGATGAAATTGATGATCACCGAGCGAGAGAGAGCGGCTCTTTCTTTCCTTCTGATTTAGTAACTTGGCGCGGTCCTCGCGTGGTCCGAGAAAATAGTAACGCGGGACCGGAACAATGGGCAATCATTTGGTTTACCTTTTTTTTTTTTTTTTTTTCTTCTTTTGTTCAATGCCTACCTTCATTACCTCGTTCTGTGTGTCCTATGCAGTTCCGTGTGAGTTTATTCGTGGATTACGTTTCGTTCCGCCTTGCCAGAGCTATAAACGGGACGCTTCGAGTTTTTTCGCTAACAATTCAACGCAGCCGCATTTATATTAACTTTTTCACAATTTATTTCATCCTTGCATTTTGCATGGTTCGAACGACAGTAAAACAAATTTTTTTTAAAACAGCCAGCACTTTGGTTTTTTAAATCAGTCATCGGCGATTTCCGCGTATACGCTCCATCGACGCGTGTGTGCGCTGCACGCAATATGGCTGTGGGCAGTTGCACACGGCTGGTACAAAAGAATAATCACTGCACGAGGCTAAAATGCCATATATATGCTGTACACCTTCATCTCCATCCGGCTCGAGCGAATAAAGGAAGAAACCGGTAGTGCCGGCACCTGCATGCACCGGCAACATCAGCAGCCGTGCACCGAGAATTCCGCGAATTTATCACTCTTCTTTACCCGATGCGTCATACATGCTAGTGCAATCGTACTGCAAGCGTTATCGTTTAGCCCAGTGTACGTAACGTGTTCAGAGCATGTTTGTGCGCGTGTGCGTTGAGACGTTAGCTGGTAAAAAATGCGCGCTGCTTAGAGGGTTGAGGAGACGTGGGAGAGCGAGGAAATCGCATCAGTCATCTTTGAAATGAAATTTCACGCTCCTAGTGGAGAAACAATATTTGCCCCCGAGTCTCTTTCTCCGATCTTGATCTTCCCCGCCCTGCCTCTCTATGTCGTATTACTTAGTTCAGCCCACATTATTTGAATTACATTCGTAGTAAATTGTTGTCTTTATTTATTTATTTATTATTATTATTTTTTTTTTTTAATGACAAAATCAAAAAAGAGTTTGTAACAAAAGAAAGTTTCTATGACGAAAATGTATGTACGGAATGTAAAAATGTATTTACCGTTCAAAATTTTGATAAACGACCATCTACCAGAGTAACATATCAACTAGTGAACCGTAGATGAGAAAAAATTTATTTGTAACTTAGTTCATTTTATTGTTTTGGAAAAAAAATAATCATACTGAGTGAGTAAAAGACAATGATTTAAAGGCTTTAAAATTTAACAATAAATAATAACCTATTTAAACATTACAAAA